TAAAAGCATAATTTGATGGTGTCCTGAGTATTTAAACTGGGCTGTTGGACACATCCCAAATGATGTCTTGACCAATTAGACACTGTCTTAGCTCGGGTGTTGCGGTGTTTCTCCTCCCAAAACATAAATCAACATGTTATCTTATCAGTCACATGGTCCGAATTTTCCCGCTCTTGCAGAGTATAATTTGGACATTATTTCTATAACCAGAATATATTATATTGATTGATAGAAACATTTAAAGCATGAATTTTCAAACGTCATTTAGGTGCATATATACATGGAAAGGCAGTTTCTGTGCCATTCTGTGAAGTAAGAATGTGTTCTGTGAAGACCAAAGAGGCTAAAAGGTCTCATAAGGAATCTCAGTCTGGTTCTTGTCCTCTAGGTGGGGGGAAGTCAGTCCAAAGAAAGTCTTTAGCTCTGTGATTACTATCATGGATTTACATGTGATGGTCATGCTGTGCATCTGTTTGACCATCAATCTTGGTTACTTGCTCCAAAATTAACAATCTCCTTTCTGAGTTGAAATTATCAATGTGTTATTTTGTGTTAATGTTGAAAGCTGCTAGTTTGCTAGGCTCACTTCAGACCCGTGGCACCAGGATTTGATTTAAGAACATCCTGTTGTCTTGGGCCTCTTTGTGGAATTCGGCTCTTTGTGTTGTTCAACACCAATCTGATCAAATCTTAAATTGTCTGATTCACTCTGATACCCTACAAGCCATTGCCGGGACACGTTCTCGGCTCCTCAGCATAAAACCTAATGAGTGGATGCACGCTGTTGCCTTATATACCCGTGTGCACGGGGAGTGGCTCAGCATGCAAAATCCACTAGCCAATTCTCATTGACATTTTCTCTTAAACTCAGAGATGATTGAGCTCCCAAGTTAGACCCCTAATGTCATCACGACATAACGTCTCTGTTCCCTCCATCAGGGAACGAGGGTTACGTATGTAACCGAGACTTTCTCACTATAACTGGTTGCCGCTGAACAACAGGCTTGTGTGATGGTGTAAGCAGTACTAAGTTATGATCTGACCTTCCTGGCGGAGGGAGAGCAGTAGAGATGTAGGCATCTTTAGCATTTGCATACAACAGATCAAGAGTCTAATTTTCTCTTGTTTTACAGTTAACAAACAGAAAGTAGGGAGTGTGGAGGAAAGAGATACATGATTGAAATCACCTGTAATCAAAACGAAGGCACCAGGATATTTTGTTTGTATATTCGCTGTCACAGAATGGATGGTATCACATGCAGCTACCGCATTCCCTGATGGAGGAATGTAAACAATAATGGTGACAACGCTTGTAAATTCCCTCAGCAAATAATATGGGCGCAATCCAACAGCCATAATCTCAATATTCTGATTGCAAACGTGGTCTTGAAATGTGGAAATGTGCCCCGGATTTCACCACCTTGAGTTCTCAAACAAGCTGAGTCCCCCTCCTTTTCTCCTGCCGCTCGCAATTAAATCTCTATCAGCTCGAACCATATGGAAGCCAGGAATAGTTACATTAGAGTCCGGTATCTGTTCATGAAGCCACATTTCCGTGAAACACATAATACTGCATTCTCTGTACTTCCTCCGTGTCCTGACTAGCGCCTCCAATTCGTCTATCTTATTCACCAAGGATCTAACATTTCCCGTAATGACTGCAGGTATACAAGGTTTAAATCTTCTCTTTTTCATCCTCCACTTCACGCCCGCTCTACAGCCTCGCCATCTCCTCTTTACGTCTCCGGTATGTTAAGTTTTTCCCCGACCTCAAGAGCTGGTTGCCTCAGCGCAATCAACTGATTGCGCGTGTAAACAATGCCAGCGGTATTCCAAGCATAACTCCCATTCTTTAGCAGCGACCCGAATACAATGAAGAGCAGTAAAAAGTATGAGTATGTAATATATATAAGTATGAGGAAGCATCTTGACAAAAAGTGTAACATAACAAAACTTAAAGAAAAAACGAATGACTAATTTACACAGCACCAGGTTCCAGGTTCTTGAATCTTAATTTGTGTTCAGAAGATGAACGAAGGCCTTACGGGTTTGGAACGACATGAGGGTGAGTAATTAATGACCAAATTTTTGGGTGAACTATCCCTTTAAGCAGGGCTGTACAGTGCGACATATATGTAAGCAATACCGGTTAAACCTTTAATTCACGTGCTGTTCTGCATGCGCTTTTCTGAGCGCGTACTCATGAAGCGCGCTCACACTGAGAGCCTGTCAAAAAGCGCCTGATTACTGGACTAAGTTGTCTTTCGCGTCTGATTGTGAAAAACACAAAAGGTTTACATATAAACAGTTGGTTATGTCTAAAATGAAAGTGAGAGAGAAACGCTTGCAGCTCTTAAAGGGACAGTAGCTACTAAACATGCTGCCGCTGTCATTAAAGGGATTCATTTACTCACATTTTGTCCCAAACCTGTATTAATTTCTTTTTTGTGCTGAACACAAAAGAAGATATTTTGAAGAATGTGAGTAACCAAACAGTAGCTGGTTCACACTGACTTTTACAGTAGGAAAAAAATACCATGGAAGTTCAATCACTCTACAGGATTTACCCTATTATACTTTATCGACACGAATTGATAGGTGAAACAACAAACAGCCACCCACAAATAGTCTATAAACAAAGAATCAGGCTGTCTTTGAGTTCACATGAACAACGGTTAAAGTTACTCGTCATCAGGCTACAGAAGAATACCATAATTCCTCCGTTCAATTAGGCCTAAGACATCGAGAGTCACGCAGACCTATAACAACCCAGCCACAACACATAATTGCGAATAACATGCTCCTTAACACAAAATCGACCAGAGTCCAACGTTTATATTTTTTCTACGAACATGAGTGGAATTTGCACCGCAGCGCCCCCACACCTTGATGCTCATGACAAGAATAGCATGTATAGTTATCTTTATTGAAGTGAATTAGTGAGCCTGGTCAGTACCTGGATGGGAGACCTCCTGGGAAAACTAGGTTGCTGCTGGAAGAGGTGCTAGGGAGGCCAGCAGGGGATGCTCACCCTGTGGTCTGGGTGTATCAGTATAGTCGGATGAGACGTTAAACTGAGGTCCTGACTCTCTGTGGTCATTAAAAATCCCAGGATGTCTTTCGAAAAGAGTAGAGGTGTGACCTCGGCATCCTGGCCAAATTTGCCCATTGGCCTCTGACCATCATGGCCTTCTAACAATCCCCATATCATGGCCTCCTAACAATCCCCATATCTGCTGATTGGCTTCATCACTCTGTCTCCTCTCCATCAATAAGCTGGTGTGTGGTGGGCGTTCTGGCGCACTATGGCTCCCGTCACATCATCCAGGTGGATGCTGTACACTGGTGGTGGATGAGGAGATCCCCCCTCACAATGTAAAGCACTTTGAGTGCCTATATAAATGTAATGAATTATTACTATTATTATTATTATTATTATTATATAACTTTCATTAATAAATCATTAACAAAAAATATATAATGTTTAACTTATTACTTAATATATATTCACATATCTAGAAATATGAGATAATGTGCTTGTTAATGTTAACTAATGAACTTAAACATTGCCAAATGTTTAACAGATCATTTTGTAATGTAAATTGAAATGCTTACAAATGTCATCAAACTTTCAATTCATATGATCATGCATTTAAAAAAAAAAAAATCAGTACCATTAGTATGACGGTTAACAGTGACTCTCTGTGAACAGTAGCACTCTGATTTTTCCAAGCTTGAGGACAAAGGGGCAGAAGTATCTATTGAAGTCTATAGAGAGAAGGGTCCTAAACTCAAGAGAGTAGTCTAACTATAAATTTGTCTGATGGCTGGTAAATTAATGAGATGGTTCCAGTTTGGAGAAGGTAGAGTATAAACCATGTGTTCCTTCTGTTTCTCTCTAATGATTTTACTGAAATATTATTTTATTAATAGTTTAATAAGATTATATCAAAATAATTAACAATTCCCTGACGCAGACAATACCACCTATGCTGAATCCCATCATATACACTCTAAAAACAGAAGAGGTCATGCAATCCATAAAAGAACTGTACAAACGCAGCAAAGTGAACACAAGCACAGAAATAAGAGTGAAATGCAGCAGGAGAATTTTAAAACAATAATTATAGCTTTAATCTTACTGTTTATCAGCTGTGAACAAGTTTTATTTTGTCTGTACTCGTAAGAGAAATTGTGTTGTAAACAGGCCAAATATGTTTAAATCCTTTGGGCTGAAACCTAGTAAAGCTGATTTGTGATTCCTTACCTTTTTAAGAACAACAATTTTAGTGAAGATTCTTAATAGACATTTTGAATGCAGTATTCACCTTTCCATTTTATTATTTTAGGTTAACAGTAAATCAAAAGAAAAAAACCCTTTGAATTACATTTGCTTTCAATATAACATCTTTTACAAATTTTTATATAACAGTCATTTTTATGATGACTTTTGTTAAATGAGACATCCTCAATGACGTACTGTATGCAACTGACAAATATGACCTTCGGAGGGCACAGCCTTCGAAATAAGACACAATAGATACACAAAACCTACATATGGATATGGCTTCATGTACATGAGGGATAGCATCGTTAGCGGCCAGTGATAAGGCCTCACAGAAATCTATGTATTTTGTTCTGCTTATTGATCATTTAGTTTGCAAAACCTACAATCACCCATTTCTTCACACATATTCTTTAGTGTTATGTTCGACACCGAACCAAAGCTTGTGTAAAAACGTTATCTGAGCTGATTCAGTTTAACCAGCGAACCCCAGCCTCATATATTTCTCTTACTCTAATAATACATTTTAATGTCGTTGTTTTTTGAAATATCAATATTCATAATAAAACGCTTGTGAATATTGCAGAATATGAACATGCAATCTTTGACACTACTTGTCTTGGCTTATGACAGACTGGTTGCTATTTGTTTTCCTTTACGGTATCATGCCATTGTAACCAAACCAGCCATGTTTCTGATCATAGGGGTAATATGGATTTTTTCGGTGACATTTTTTTCTGTACTTGTAGGTTCTGTGAATAGACTTTCTTTTTGTGGATCTAATGTGCTTGATAGTTATTTTTGTGATTATGGCCCTATCTATAGAATAGCTTGTAATGATAATTCTCTAAATATTTTGTTGGGTAAAATTTGCTATAGTCTCCTGATTTTTACACCACTGATATTGATCTTCATTTCATATTTCTGCATTGCTCTGGTTTTGTTTAAGATTCCCCATGGTGTTGACCGGATCAAGGCCATAAAAACCTGTACCTCACATCTCCTGTTGGTGGTAATATTTTATATTCCGATTTTGAGCAATAATATTGCATCGATAATAACACCTTTGCATCCAAACACCAGGATAATTAACAATTCCCTGACGCAGACAATACCACCTATGCTGAATCCCATCATATACACTCTAAAGACAGAGGAGGTCATGCAATCCATAAAAGAACTGTACAAACGCAGCAAAGTGAACACAAGCACAGAAATAAGAGTGAAATGCAGCAGGAGAATTTTAAAACAATAATTATAGCTTTAATCTTACTGTTTATCAGCTGTGAACAAGTTTTATTTTGTCTGTACTCGTAAGAGAAATTGTGTTGTAAACAGGCCAAATATGTTTAAATCCTTTGGGCTGAAACCTAGTAAAGCTGATTTGTGATTCCTTACCTTTTTAAGAACAACAATTTTAGTGAAGATTCTTAATAGACATTTTGAATGCAGTATTCACCTTTCCATTTTATTATTTTAGGTTAACAGTAAATCAAAAGAAAAAAACCCTTTGAATTACATTTGCTTTCAATATAACATATTTTACAAATGCTTAATGATTAGCTTTATTCGTGAGAGTACTGCACAGCTATTGGATAGTGGACACTGTTTTTTGTTCTTACATGTATTGTGTATTTGTAATATCTTTATTATTTTGTGCAGTCACTAATTCTCACCATTCTGTGCTAAATGTCACATAGGTGTTTTATGATGATCACAGACCACATAAGCATGTGCCTCAGTGAACTAAATTAATTAAAAGTAATCCTTAAATTATATCTTGTTCATTTAACAAAATTAATGCAATATACAAATATGATAAACATCTGTGTAAACCCTGCACACAGTACTCAATACAGTGCCTTACAACAGCTTTTACATATTCTGTTAAATAACACAATGGCATAGCAGACATTATTTATGTGTCAAAAATGCAGGATACAGCACACAGGCCTATATGTAACAACTTCTGTGCATAACCTAATGTATTTTGAGAGTATATTTTTAAACAAAAATGCTAAAGGTTTTCTATGATAGACTAGCATACACTTTTACTTTTTCAAACTACTGCATCCAATGCGAATGTGTATTTGGTTTTTAGCTTTGGTCCGAGTGTTTTCTCTTGACGAAATTGTCTCTTAAATATTGTAAATATTGTACCTGGTTACATCATGCCTTGTAACACAGGATTTAAGCCAAGAAGGACAGTAACTGTTCGAGATAAAATTAAAAAATAAATGTCAAAATCATCTTCTCATGTGAATTAAGTGCTTTTCCATTTCTAGTCCAAATGGTTGTGAACATAGTCAGTCAGTAGTATCAGCAACACTATTTGGTTAGGTAGGGCTACAATTTCAATCAGTTCAATAAAGGCTGCAATGGCCGCATAAGTGGTAGAGGTTGTCTAATTTCAGAAAAGCAACCATTACATTCCAAAGCAAGAAAGAAATTATAGTAATTAGGCCTTACGAGGAATAACAGTCATTTTTATGATGACTTTTGTTAAATGAGACATCCTCAATGACGTACTGTATGCAACTGACAAATATGACCTCCAGAGGGCACAGCCTTCGAAATAAGACACAACAGATACACAAAACCTACATATGGATATGGCTTCATGTACATGAGGGATAGCATTGTTAGCGGCCAGTGATAAGGCCTCACAGAAATCTATGTATTTTGTTCTGCTTACTGATCATTTAGTTTGCAAAACCTACAATCACCCATTTCTTCACACATATGCTTTAGTGTTATGTTCGACACCGAACCAAAGCTTGTGTAAAAACGTTATCTGAGCTGATTCAGTTTAACCAGCGAACCCCAGCCTCATATATTTCTCTTACTCTAATAATACATTTTAATGTCATTGTTGTTTTTTTAAATATCAATATTCATAATAAAACGCTTGTGAATATTGCTGAATTTTGAAAGAACAGTCGAATGATAAGGCATGCTTCATATCGCTGGTTTTATTAATGAATTTATTTCATTATTGGTTTTATTTTATTGACCTATTTCAGCACCCGCTAAACTGTGGAACATGGCTTTTATTTTTAAAATGTCCCAGGCTGATCGCCTCCATGCCACACCGCATTGAAGCAATTCATGCAAAAGGAGCCCCAACCAAGTATTGAGTGCATATGTGTAATGTGTAAATATTTCAGTTTGTGTGCAATGAATCTAGAAAGAAAGTATGCTTTTTTAAATTAAATTACAAAAAATAAAGAACTTTTCCATGATATAATTTTTTTTTAGATGCACCTGATTGTGTGTGTGTGTGTGTGTATATATATATATATATATATATTAGTGCTGTAAATCGATTATTCAATCAATTTCACATTCAGTCTTCAAAATAATGTACAAACAACATAAAGACAGTGTATTTTAAATATTTGGTTAATGGCATCTTTTTTATTGAAAAAATATTGCGCCAGACTTTAGACCAGGTTTGAGTTGGACTATGGCGCCGCCTATTTTCAGATCCTCAAAATAGCAACGCGCCAACAATGCACCTGAACGCACCTCTTTTTTAGACCAGCATGCCCATATGCGCACAAATGGGCGCAAATGCATTTGCTATTTAAACAACGCGGCGCGAAACGGGAAAATGAGAACTGAGTCGGGCTGAAACTAGCAAAAACACTTGCGCCGCATTGCGCCGGGTGTATGATCGGGCCCTTTGACTTTTTTTTTAAAGTCAAGTATACTTAAATGTCATTTTAGGTATATTTCTGAGAAGTACATAAAGCCCATTTCTGAGAAGTACATAAAAAGTAGACTGAAAGTATACTTTCCTATTTTAAGTATAAAAGAAAAATACTAATAGCACACTTGAATAAACTTCTTTTTCGTAAGGGCATGAAAAAAATGAAGATTTTTAAAACTCCTTAATTCTATGTGTTAAACTTAAGTGCATAATTCATCCAATACTGTTTGTACTATGAACATGAATAGTGCCTCAATTTGTGCAGCTTTGATTCAGGTTCAGTTACTGTGTCGATTCCAGTTGTTTTTCGCACTTGAAATTGTTAACCCTGGGTGATTAAACCCTGTTAAAAAGGAATTCTGGGTTATCATTATTAAACCCTGGGTTAACCTTCTTATTTCTATATTTTGTGTTGTCAATGTCATTGATCGGTCAAACGCAGCATGTGACCTGTTTACATAAAATCTACTATTGCGCATATATGCCGGCTGTACTACCAAGTTTTTCCTAAATGGTCTTTTTGGACTAAACACGTTGTCCATCACCACTTTTCCCCTTAAATGCTGAAACTACTGTTTCAACATGAACTGTTTCTGTGACTGTCTAAAGCACGTGAATACAAGGTACGCGATTGGGTGTCTGTTGCCAAGCATCTAGGAGTAATATTCTAACACAGAATAATTTGACACTGTACTGTTTCACGCACCTCAAAAGCGTTCCTCTACTCGGGGCAAAAAGCAGGGTTTAGAACAACGATAACCCAGAGTTGAGGCTCTAAAGACCAAAGGTCAAACGTCAAGGTGCCATTATGGTATTTTTACACTGCAGCGACAATCTTGCAAAGCCTCTGTTTCTCCACTACATGGGCAATACAATCATCATATTATACACACGATTAGAATTGGAACGATGCAAGCTTTGTTTTTGAATGCCCAAAGTAAAGCTATAGCATCAATTTAATAAATTTTTGCAAACCCAGCCAGAGAATTTGTCAGCTTTCGGATGTTCTAGGTT